GGTCTCCTGACCATCCGCGTTTATTTTGTCCGGGTCCTCTGGTTTCCTTCCACTGCTAAAGACCCCTAGACACGAGCAAATTATTGAAATAAAATTGAACCATATGTTAGTCCCGAAATGACGTTTGTGTCAAGTGGATGCTAAGTCCCACATCCCTCTCTCTCTCTCTCTTGCTTTTCCCTTCAAATCATGTATTATCTGCAGTTTGGTGATCTGCGATTCTGTATCATTAACATCAAAATGCTATTGTGCTGACGGTTAAATAAACCAGTGGCCTACAATATCAATTATGGTTAAGCTTCATTATCATACATGTATATTCTGTATGGATAAAACCAATTTATGTTTTTAGTTATTCATTTTATGTAGTTTAGTAAGTCATAATCTTTGTTCATATTGCAATAGATTTAAACATAAATATTTTTACATTCAGTTCTTCAGAGAATTGCCAGTATGTGTGAGCCAAGATCCCTGTATGTCGAGTGGTATGGCCAGTCCAACATAAACAGAGATTTGGGACAACATTTTGGATGTTTATTTGTAATTCTGATGATGCAATGTAAGTCAACTCAAGCATTAATTTTATCTTAAATTGGTTCAATGCACTCGCCATGATAGCAAATTTCTTACTTGTACATATTGTACATATATACAGGGTTTCCCCCAGTATTTTTTGATTTAAGAGTGGCAGAGACGACCGAGCGAAGCGAGTGAGTAATGACAGAATGCAGCGAGGGAATGCTACTAGGGGGTGGGTGGGTGGGGGGCAGGGGGCATTCTCGCTATAATAGTTTTAAAATAGACAATGTAAAATTAATATAAATTAATATATTTTGACAAGAAATACCGTAGTCTCGATTGCCAAAGCACTGTATTCCCAAGATAATAAAAGAAGTCTCGATTATCCATCAACTAACCGTTTTGTGATTAATTATTGAATGGGCGCGGTGTTCTAATCTTCTTAAAATCAGAGCCATCGGATGGTCTTAGAGTTGATTACGGGCTTGTTGATTGTGGGTTTGATCACTGGTGCGAGTGTATGTGGTTTGGAGATTGGGGCACCTTCTCAACCCGATGGGTTTACTCCGGGTACTCCGAATTCCTCCCACGAAGGCCCTGCACATGTGTTGATTGGTCATTGGACATAAACCCACATTTCATTTCATTTCCCACCCCCACCATGTTCATCTTCAAGATTTTGTTTACGTAGCGTTGAAATTACTATGCAGTACTTGTTTGAGTAACGACGGTATTCAAGAGTATAGAAATATAAATCAACATATAAGTTGGGCAATAGATATGAAGAATTTTTGCAAAGAACAGGCCTCTTGATATGTAAATTTTTAATGGTTGGTTTTTTTTTCAATTTTAGAAATGGATATGCCCTTTTACCAAATTGGTGATGATAACATGGATAATGATGCCATAGATAATGATGATGCCGTAGATGATGATGATACCATAGATCTTGATAGTAACCTTGTTGGTGCGTCTCATATTTTCCTCACATGATTATGTTCATTTCACAGACGACCAATATCTCAGTACTCTTTATCTTCTGTCAGGCTACATAGTCTGTCTACATGTACATGTATGTCTTTTGCAATGGGGGTATAGGCAAGTGTTAAAGGCAAGTGTCCAAATGAAATGAAATGGGGTTTAACGTCCTACTGTTCTGCTCCTATACTGGGCTAATGAAGACGGGCATACGCCATACAGTGTGCTATGAGGGAAATTTTGCCCGGGCAGCGGCACTATCGCCTACTCTTATACCGAATTCCAACTGCCAAGGGATCTTTTACGTGCATTCTAATGTATACACGGGACCTCGGTTTTTCGATTCATCCGAAGGACTAGACAGCTGTCCTTGTCAGGCCCTCCGTTCTGCACCACTGACAAGGGGAAACCACGTCGGAAAATCCAGATGAACTTTCTCGGCCAATGCAGGGATCGAACACCCGACCTCCAGGCTAGCGAGCCAGCGTCTTAACCACCTAGCCACCGTGGCTCCGGCAAGTGTCCAGGTGGATCAGTATAGGATAACCATTACCACTCTGCAGACTAAAGCCACAGACCTAAATGAAAAGCTGACTAATGCTCACAACAAACTGGCTATGGTAATGTCTGAATATAAAAAACTAAAGGAAAATGTGGTAAGGATGGAGGAAGAAAACAAGAAACCAATAACATTAGACCTAACAAATACAGGTTCCCAGACAGAGAGATTACCAACAGACATCACAAATAAAGTTACTACCGGTATTGAGGGAATCTCGAAAAACACACAGACTGTGCCCGCACACATGCAAGTCATCAAGATGTGTGATATTTCGTCACAGACTGAATGCAGCAATATTGTGTTACTGCCACCGGTAGCTGAGGTCTTACAAAACAGTGCCAGTGCACCAACCGCTAACTGTATGGCCTCAACTACCTCACCGCAATCAAACCCAACAAACACATACATGTATCAGCAGTCTAACAAAGCATATGAGCGTGCAGATAAAATAAAACTGCTAAAAATGAAAAAAAATATTGTCATAGGCTCTTCTCTTCTACAAGATTTAAAGCCAATGAAATTAGATAGAGATGGAAATACAGAAGTTAGAACCATAGGGGGCAGAAAAATCTTGGACGCAAAGAAGTTTGTTGACCGATGCCAAATCTCTGAGAAGATAGAAATTGTCACCTTCTTAATTGGCTCCAATAATGTCGGTAGCACAGATGCCCATGCCTGTCAACAAGACTATTCTCAGCTGATACGGTCAACAAAAAGCAAATTTCCAAAAGCTGAAATAAAATTTCTTGAGCTGCTCCCAAGATGTCCCGATTGGTTCAACGATCAGATAGTAGAAATCAATGATGTTCTCTCGGGCATATGTGCATCAACAAATTGTACTTTTATTAAAACCAAAACAAGCTTCTGCAAAAACGACAATAAAAGTGCAAAACAATACCTCTACAATGGAAAAACACACTTAAATGACAAGGGGGCATGTAGACTAGCATCTATATTAAAGAAAGCCCTAAATATTCAACTCTTCAAGCGTGATGTGTCTGCTTCTACTCCATCTGCCATGAGTAATAACCAACACAAGCAATACTCAAGTGGTACTAAAGCTTCCTGGTCCTCAAGCAATCAATTCCGACGGGCACTTTTGTCTGATCCCATTAACCCCTACAAGCCAGGTTTACCATCACCGATGTCACAACTGACCTACAAACAGAATCAGTGGCACCCCAATCAGTGGAATATTAACCAGTGGAACCAAAGTCAGTGTAATCCAAATCAGTTAAAGCCAAATCAGTTTAATCCGAACTAACTTAATCCAAATTTGCTTAATCTGAATCTGTTAAACCAAAACCACTGGAATCAAAATCACCTTAACCTAAATCATTTAAATCTAAGTCATTGGAATCCCAATCATTTTAACCAAAGTCAAAGCCAGCGTTAAAATACATGTAGAATAGTGTATAATAACTTTACTTTACCGTCCATATGGAAACCTTACCATAGTGCTAACTGTTAATGTTATTGTGCCAAATAAAATGAAAACCACAAAAATGTACGATGTGATAATGTACAAGTATCTCAGTGCTAAGCAATGTTATAATGTGTTTAGTACTTAGTAGGGCAGTGTTTTGCCAAATATTCTACCAGATATGCGTTTAAAACCGAAACGGATACATAAAGACTTGTTCAAGTTCAAATCTTAAATCTATTCACAATTGTGTGCACTGAAAGACAGATCCAATAACTGACTTGTTTTATTTTGTACAGATTTAAATATTGAATTATCTACATTGTTATTTTATATGTTGTCATTCCTTCCATGTCAAACGATATTTGTAGGTATTAGTTATTTCATGTTCTTATTATCTTAAGAAGCTTTACGTTATTTTAATTTGTGATAGTTTCATGTTTTACTATCTTAAGCTTATATTGTTTTGTGACTGTGAGAGTTCAGGTTTTTTTCTTTTTTTTTGAGGGGGGGGGGGGGGTAAGCTCATGTTAGGTTGTGATAGTTTAATTTAGTATAGATTAGTTTCATATTTTATTGCCTTTAATTTATATTTGGTTGTGATCATCTGTTATATGTGTTTGTTTGTAGTGCATATTTATAAGTAATTGTTCCACGCGCTTGTTTTCCTTAATAGAAACTGAAACATGTCAACTAATTTAAAAATCGGGTTTTGGAACATTAATGGCTTAACATCAAAAATCAATAATAATAAGCACCTTTTGGACTTAAAAAGAAATATTTCACATTTACATATTATATGTTTCCTGGAAACTTGGTCTAGCCAAGAACAGGAAGAACTTGGAACACTTACTGACGTTCTGGATGATTTTACTGGACATGTATTTAGTAGGAAGGGGGGAAACTAACAGCGTCTAACCCAGAGGAGGGTGTGCAATTTATGTTAGAAATGAACTAAAACATGGTCTTAGTATAATTGAATCGAAGGACGGGGATGTGGTATGATTCCGACTCAATAAGTCAGTTTTTCAATTCCCTTTTGATATTTATGTAGCTGCAGTTTATATTCCGCCCATTAATTTTCCCATTTGGCAAAACAAACAATACAACCCCCTTTAACGACCTAGAAAAAGATGTTCTTAGATATAATAAATTGGGCAAAATACTAATTGGGGACGACTTTGAAAGATATATTCTATTCTGATTTCAAGGAGTCTGTGAATCAACCATATCCATCACTAATTAATGATATACCAGAGAATAATTTTCTAAATATTAGAAACAATACTGATACTAAAATAAATACATGGGGTAGAGAACTCATAGACCTATGTAATGCAACCGATATTTGTATTCTCAATGGACGTAGCATTGGTGATTTGCTAGGAAACTATACGTGCATAAACCATTTTGTCAAGCCTCTCCCTATTTGAAGCCATTTCCTCCTTTGAAGTGTCTATTTTAAATCACCTATCCGATCATTGCTTGATATGTCACTTATCTTATTTATATTTAAAGGTAAATCCTCCTGTCAACATAACCAAGACTGCTGTCTCAAATAAATTGAGCGATAATTTAACAAAATTCAATAACAAAAGAAAAGCACTTAAATTTATGTGAAAACCTGATTCTGACCAAGCTTTTCTTGAATTCCCTTATTAAAGACAATAATAAAAAAGATAATGAAGACATCTTTCTCAAAAATTGGGAAGAACATTTCACTTCCTTATTTGATGTTAAGGAGGATACCACATTATCAGATGATAATAAACTAAATATACAGTTTGAAAATGAAGTAAAAAATTCAAAATTAAATACAGATTTAAATAGAGAAACACTGCCTCCGAACTTCTTTCCGCATTTAGAAACCTTAAATGAAACAAATCCAGTGGTCCTGACCTAATTATCAATGAAATGCTAATTGCATCGCTCAGTATTATGATTGACAACTATATAAAGTATTTTAACCTTATTCTTTTCCCAGTTGTATTCCCCAAAGCCTGGGGTGAGTCATTTATTGTCCCAATTCACAAAAAAAGGTGATAAAAATGACCCAAATAATTATAGATGCATTGCGCTGGCCAGTTGTCTCAGTAAGTGTTTTTTTTATCAATAATAAACGCCAGGATTTCAGATCATCTTGAGGATAATAAATTATTAGATAATGCTCAGAGTGGATTTCGAAAATATTTTAGAACGTCTGACAACATGTTTATTCTTAAAACCATATTAAATAAAATAAAACCAAGTACGAACAATCCAAACCATTAGACAAAATTCGAAGTCCTAAAAAAACGGTATAGGCAAAATCTTAATAGAAATATTTACCTCAGTTTTATCGATTTTACTAAGGCTTTTGACACTATTTGGCGAAAGGGGCTACTATTAAAATTGTTACGACATAATATCAATGGTAATGTATTGCAACTCATTAAGTCTATGTATGAAAATACTTAATATATAATAAAAACCAATAGTATATCTCTCCCTATTATTTCAAATGCAGGAGTAAAACAAGGGTGTGTCCTGAGTCCAACTCTCTTCAATATATATATATAAATGATCTACAATCCTACCTACATAACGAAAATAATGACGCTCCGACTCTAGAAAGTTGTAACGTATCCCATCTATTATTTGCGGATGACCTTGTACTTATGTCAACTACCCCCATGGCTTACAGAACTGTTTAAATAAACTTAACCAATTCTGTAAGGATTGGAAGTTAAATCTAAAGCTATGTTCTTATCTAACAAAAAATGTAATAAAAGTAAAACTGTCATTAATTTTAATATTGGAAATAGCAAAATAGATCATGTCTCTTCATACCAATATTTAGGGGTTAATTTTACAAATAATGGCTCACATAAAGCAGCTATGGCTGACTTAAGCAAGAAGGGTCTGGTTCAGTTTACGCAATAAAATTTGTGGCAGTGATGATTTACCAACTGAAGTTTTACTTAAAGTATATGAAGCAATTGTTAAACCCATCGCTACATATGCCTCGGAACTCTGGGGATCTCAAATTGCTCATAGCAAGAACAATACCACAAAAAACTGGAACAGAATTGAATTAAATTCAATAACAAAGAAAGCATCGAAATCAATCCTAATGCAGCCCCCTTAAACTTCAAATATTGGCTGCCTGTCTGAACTTGGACTTTTTCCTCTTCACTTCACCGTGTACCAAAAAATGTTGTTATATTATAAACGACTGAATGATCTAAAATCTAATTCATCTCATTCCCACACTATCTTGACTGCAGCATTTGTTGAAGATGTTAAAATTGCGCTGAAAGTACCCAAACTTTCCTAGTCTGCCGCAGTCCTTAAAATAATAAATGAGTATGACATTATTATCAATAATCTTTCCAAACATAATATAAAATCCTTGTTAGAATCTAAATTCAACTCATTTTATTCAAATACCTGTAATGTGAAAGATAACTATACCAGCCATAGCCAAAACTTAGAACATACAGCACTTTTTTGACAAGAATAGCAAAACCGCCAGCATATCTCCTGTCCGTATCTAACAAACAGTATAAATGTTCAATGACATCCCTCCGCCTTAGCTCTCACCAACTTCAAAAAGAGAGAGGTCGGTACCATAACATTGCCGAAAGAGACAGAATTTGTTGACACTGCTCTAACAATATTGTGGAGGATGAGTTTCATTTTCTAATGGAATGTACAAAACATGAAACCATTCGAAATAATACTTTGTACCCTGCCTTATACGCCAACAGTCTACCATTCTCCTCCGGTGTCATGTTTGACCCACCCTCACCAGTTGCAAAATCTGTGTGCTCATTTGTTTTCCATGCTTTCAAAAACAGAGAATGATAAATTATCTGCTACACCTTCTACCTTATTTACAATAAATAACATAATTTAACTCCGAAACAAAAGAGTCCTAAAGGAAGCACATGCCTATTATCCCCCCTTGCTATTTAATTGATTTGTAGCTTTATATACATATAATACGTTCGTTATTTGCTACATGTATATTTGTTGAATTTTATTAATGTTCGTTTATTTGTTACATGTATATTTGTTGTATTGTATTTATGTAATTTTTGTAATTGTATGCTGCTTCTCGTGGGCGTTTTTATGCAATAAAATTTACTTATTTACTTACTGGGCGTGACAGCGACAACTACGTAAGAGCTGAGCATACCATTGGTTACGACAACATACTCTTATCAATGGTGTGAACAGCCTCACTTGGTTGTCACTGTCGTTGCCACACTCAGTGGACACCTGCCATTAAAGCGATAATTGCATATTTTCTAAGAAAGTCATAACATAATTATTTATATATCAATTACTTAATAATTTGTTAAATCACTACTATACAATCAAAGGAATCATTCTATCACTTAAAAAACATTTACATAAAAATTTGAAATAATTTCTACTCGCCGACAGTATTTGGAAATTGTATCATTTCTTTTCACTGGAAAAGTAAGTCTACATAATGGAAGAGGGAGTTGTCTCGATTGTCAAGGTCCGTGGGTAAACAGAGAAGGATAATGAGGCATGATTGAGCGAGACTTTTCAAACCTGCGCACATGATAATAACTCCATAAAATCCAATGTTAGAATTTAACAAGAAAATGATACATTAGCCAATTTCTGAACTGACATAGTGAAATATAGGATAAGTAGGATTTTTCTTTAACAAGGTAGGACACAGATTCCATGTGTTTTAAGGCTTTATTTTAACATATTTTAAACATATGACTTAAAAAAATGCAATTATCGCTTTAAGTATTTAATAAGTTTCATTTTCTCAATGGCCTTTTCTGACGTCAAATTGAGAAATAATGAAATTGTATTTATTATTTCAGTTAACCATACCTCTCAGGTGCCAAGTTGTTTAAAAGTAGATAGAGGGATTCCTAAAACAACAAATACCAGTTTGAAAGAAAAAAGAAACCGAGGTAACGTGCTGAAGTTCGTTCGTATATTTAACTGCTTCCATTGTTCCCTTGGAGATCAGTGGTGGCTCAGTGGAAACTGTTCTTGGAACGCAATGTAAAATGATGCAATATGTAAATTGTGTTATGGCATCAATCTTGTATTGCTCTTACTGTGTACAGAATTAACATGGCTTACATGTACATGTAACTCATCTTAATCAGTACAAGGAATTGTTTTGACATAAGCCCATCGCTACTTCAAAATAGAGGATTAGATGTTACACACCAATTTTACTCCCATCGTTTCCGTGGGGTTTCTTATATTAGTTATTTCAGAGCATTGTCATTCTTATCGAGAATTTTTGTTATGATGTTTTACACAATGGATTAAAATTAAGATGTGGATGGAAGGATTTTAGTCTTATGTTAACTATTTAATATTTACAGGTGGCGGTGGGAAGAAATGTCCACATAAGTCATGGTCATAAGCTGAAAAGAGTTACCTTACATATTAATCAAATGTCAAAGACTTCTCATCATATTTGGCAAAACCCAATTTGAGAATAGACCAAGCTGGGGAGATGCCAACATTGAAATGACCGAGTGCCAGGTTTTTTTCCTTAAATATTGATGATGTGAGTCTATCAATCAAAGTGAAAGATAATCAAAATAAGACCTTGCTTACCTCGCTAGAACCAGTTTGAGCGACACAAAACGCTGTTAAAAAATACGTCCCCGTCGTCTAAACGACTTGACCGATCACATTGATAGGGTAACGCACAAATTTACGAACTCGGCCACATAAGATGAAACGAAATTTAGGTAAGCAAAATAAATTGAAATCTTTGAAAAGTTGAGAATCTTCAGTTATTTATTGCTTTGCCTATTCCAATTACAATAATCCCAAAGGTCTTATTTTCTCACTAAGATGTTAATTTACATTGTTCAGACGTTCACAGGGACTGACACGCGATCGTTTAACAGTAAAAGGTTGCCCAGTAAAATGGACTGGGGCGGATATCAGTTTCGAAAAGAATTCAATAGGACGGTTCCTGAACGTACAGGGCGAGTGTAATGAGACCTACGTTCAGAGCTGAACTAATGTTGGAATAGATTTGTTCCGGTCTGCAAAGTATTTTGATGTCGGCTTATTGTGCATTAAGCAGCTTGCCGAGGGCTCAAAGGAAAGATCAGTGGGGGGGGGGACAATGACCTATATTAAAATATGGACACCTTTTTAAAAAAAATTAGACACACTCAAGAATGATCAAGGAATTAGGAGAGAAATTGGTAAGAAACCAGAGGCTAATATGATTTTAGATTGGTATCCTACAGAGTATACAGATATAATGTAGTTGTTGGGTCATCAAACCATGACAGGCTCAGTTGTTATATTCCGACGGTCTTCCATGATCACCTAGACTAAGCTATTATGTCCAATTTATTTGTTTCAATTAACGACGGGCAGAGAATAGACCAATTTGAGAATAGACCAAGCTGGAGAGATGCCAATATTGAAATAACCAAGTGCCAGGTTGTCGTTTCCTTATGTATTGATAATGTGAATTGAAAGACCCCCCCCCCCATCATATTAGGCAAATCCAATACAATAACCATGGTTCTGAGAGTTGCCCAAGTAAAAGACAAACTGAGAATATGTGGACGATTGAAGTTCCTGTTGAAGACACAAACAAAGGAGAGGTTGGAATAGATTTGTTCCAGTCTGCAAAGTATTTTGATGCCGGTGTATTCTGCATTAAGCAGCTTGCTAAAGTGTCCAATAAAGATCAGTGGGAGGAACAATGACCTATGTTAAATTATGGCCAACTTTTTAAAAAGTTCGCCACACCAAAGAAAGATCAAGCAATCGGAGAGAGAAAAATTGGTAAGAAATCTGAGGCTCATAAGTTTTTAGATTGGTATCCTACAGCACACCTCACGTTTGAGGCGCGCATTATTTTCGCGCTCCGTCGCTCTTCTAAATCCCAATCTCGGTGCCCTTTTTTTATTAATCTCCTTCGTAATCACTCGCCATAACTAGATGCACAATCAGTAATTTGGTATCATACTCGAGCGATTATCTGCACATTTTGACGGCAAAGAAATTTATCAAATCTTGGCCTTGACTGTGAAGACTACAGTTTCGTCTTGACAACAGACATTTCCGCTTGGACCAAGCACTGTTTTCCGCAAGAAGTTCGCATGACCTTATCGCCGTTATTATTTTGATGGGTGTGTTTGAAGTTATTCTCTCTTTTGAATATTATTATTTACGTTAGATCAATATTTACTGGAACACAGGTGGACAAATTAGATAGATTTTATAGTTGCGATGACAGATTCATATCTAAAATCTGGTGCAAATCACCCAGAGACCATCATAAAGGATGCGAGTATTCGGGGGGGGGGGGGCAGGTGCAGATGTATAAAAATATGTTTGTGGTACCGAATATGAGGTACAGCATACATACTTGCTGTTCATGAAGTTCCCTTTAGCCATTTCCAATATTTGGTCAGTGTAATGAAAAATAGTGGTGTACAACTGTTATCCAGATTTGACAATTCAAACCGGGCAAGAGCATCTGTACAAACTATTGTCGATTTAGTCCGTGAAAAGGTGACTGATGTCACAAGTTCGTCAAACAGATTCACCTTGCTGACTGATGGTTCGCAAGCGAGAAAGACTGGAATCGAGAAGCAGTTAGTATTGCTAAAGTGGCCAATAAAGGATTTCCAACATTTCTGTATGCGGCACTCCAGAATATGGACGAATTTGGTGATACTAATTGTGATAATCTCACAAGCTGTATTGACGATAATTTTCAGTCCAAACAGCCTGATTATGCAAAACAATTAGTCTCGTTCACAAATAACAGGTAATAGACAGTGGTTACTTGATATCGGATGTGTTCTGAACAGATTAAAGTTGGCTGTGAAAGGCTCAGTTATGAACAGAAATGATATTAAAATGTCTATGACTTTACGATATTAATTAATTGTGAACGGAAAACAATCATCAGGAAAATTTGTTACGACATTTGAAGAATGTGCGACAAGTGTAAAATTCCCAATGGTACTAAATTTAATAATTTGTCAAATCACTACTATACAATCAAAGGAATCATTCTATCACTTAAAAAACATTTACATAAAAATTTGAAATAATTTCTACTCGCCGACAGTATTTGGAAATTGTATCATTTCTTTTCACTGGAAAAGTAAGTCTACATAATGGAAGAGGGAGTTGTCTCGATTGTCAAGGTCCGTGGGTAAACAGAGAAGGATAATGAGGCATGATTGAGCGAGACTTTTCAAACCTGCGCACATGATAATAACTCCATAAAATCCAATGTTAGAATTTAACAAGAAAATGATACATTAGCCAATTTCTGAACTGACATAGTGAAATATAGGATAAGTAGGATTTTTCTTTAACAAGGTAGGACACAGATTCCATGTGTTTTAAGGCTTTATTTTAACATATTTTAAACATATGACTTAAAAAAATGCAATTATCGCTTTAAGTATTTAATAAGTTTCATTTTCACAATGGCCTTTTCTGACGTCAAATTGAGAAATAATGAAATTGTATTTATTATTTCAGTTAACCATACCTCTCAGGTGCCAAGTTGTTTAAAAGTAGATAGAGGGATTCCTAAAACAACAAATACCAGTTTGAAAGAAAAAAGAAACCCAGGTAACGTGCTGAAGTTCGTTCGTATATTTAACTGCTTCCATTGTTCCCTTGGAGATCAGTGGTGGCTCAGTGGAAACTGTGCTTGGAACGCAATGTAAAATGATGCAATATGTAAATTGTGTTATGGCATCAATCTTGTATTGCTCTTACTGTGTACAGAATTAACATGGCTTACATGTACATGTAACTCATCTTAATCAGTACAAGGAATTGTTTTGACATAAGCCCATCGCTACTTCAAAATAGAGGATTGGATGTTACACACCAATTTTACTCCCATCGTTTCCGTGGGGTTTCTTATATTAGTTATTTCAGAGCATTGTCATTCTTATCGAGAATTTTGTTATGATGTTTTACACAATGGATTAAAATTAAGATGTGGATGGAAGGATTTTAGTCTTATGTTAACTATTTAATATTTACAGGTGGCGGTGGGAAGAAATGTCCACATAAGTCATGGTCATAAGCTGAAAAGAGTTACCTTACATATTAATCAAATGTCAAAGACTTCTCATCATATTTGGCAAAACCCAATTTGAGAATAGACCAAGCTGGGGAGATGCCAACATTGAAATGACCGAGTGCCAGGTTTTTTTCCTTAAATATTGATGATGTGAGTCTATCAATCAAAGTGAAAGATAATCAAAATAAGACCTTGCTTACCTCGCTAGAACCAGTTTGAGCGACACAAAACGCTGTTAAAAAATACGTCCCCGTCGTCTAAACGACTTGACCGATCACATTGATAGGGTAACGCACAAATTTACGAACTCGGCCACATAAGATGAAACGAAATTTAGGTAAGCAAAATAAATTGAAATCTTTGAAAAGTTGAGAATCTTCAGTTATTTATTGCTTTGCCTATTCCAATTACAATAATCCCAAAGGTCTTATTTTCTCACTAAGATGTTAATTTACATTGTTCAGACGTTCACAGGGACAGTAAAAGGTTGCCCAGTAAAATGGACTGGGGCGGATATCAGTTTCAAAAAGAATTCAATAGGACGGTTCCTGAACGTACAGGGCGAGTGTAATGAGACCTACGTTCAGAGCTGAACTAATGTTGGAATAGATTTGTTCCGGTCTGCAAAGTATTTTGATGTTGGCTTATTGTGCATTAAGCAGCTTGCCGAGGGCTCAAAGGAAAGATCAGTGGGGGGGGGGGGGGACAATGACCTATATTAAAATATGGACACCTTTTTAAAAAAAATTAGACACACTCAAGAATGATCAAGGAATTAGGAGAGAAATTGGTAAGAAACCAGAGGCTAATATGATTTTAGATTGGTATCCTACAGAGTATACAGATATAATGTAGTTGTTGGGTCATCAAACCATGACAGGCTCAGTTGTTATATTCCGACGGTCTTCCATGATCACCTAGACTAAGCTATTATGTCCAATTTATTTGTTTCAATTAACGACGGGCAGAGAATAGACCAATTTGAGAATAGACCAAGCTGGAGAGATGCCAATATTGAAATAACCAAGTGCCAGGTTGTCGTTTCCTTATGTATTGATAATGTGAATTGAAAGACCCCCCCCCCCCCCATCATATTAGGCAAATCCAATACAATAACCATGGTTCTGAGAGTTGCCCAAGTAAAAGACAAACTTAGAATATGTGGACGATTGAAGTTCCTGTTGAAGACACAAACAAAGGAGAGGTTGGAATAGATTTGTTCCAGTCTGCAAAGTATTTTGATGCCGGTGTATTCTGCATTAAGCAGCTTGCTAAAAGTGTCTAATAAAGATCAGTGGGAGGAACAATGACCTATGTTAAATTATGACCAACTTTTTAAAAAGTTCGCAACACCAAAGAAAGATCAAGCAATCGGAGAGAGAATAATTGGTTAGAAATCTGAGGCTCATAAGTTTTTAGATTGGTATCCTACAGCACACCTCACGTTTGAGGCGCGCATTATTTTCGCGCTCCGTCGCTCTTCTAAATCCCAATCTCGGTGCCCTTTTTTATTAATCTCCTTCGTAATCACTCGCCATAACTGGATGCACAATCAGTAATTTGGTATCATACTCGAGCGAGTATCTGCACATTTTGACGGCAAAGAAATTTATCAAATCTTGGCCTTGACTGTGAAGACTACAGTTTCGTCTTGACAACAGACATTTCCGCTTGGACCAAGCACTGTTTTCCGCAAGAAGTTCGCATGACCTTATCGCCGTTATTATTTTGATGGGTGTGTTTGAAGTTATTCTCTCTTTTGAATATTATTATTTACGTTAGATCAATATTTACTGGAACACAGGTGGACAAATTAGATAGATTTTATAGTTGCGATGACAGATTCATATTTAAAATCTGGTGCAAATCACCCAGAGACCATCATAAAGGATGCGAGGATTCGGGGGGGAGGGGCAGGTGCAGATGTAAAAAAATATGTTTGTGGTACCGAATATGAGGTACAGCATACATACTTGCTGTTCATGAAGTTCCCTTTAGCCATTTCCAATATTTGGTCAGTGTAATGAAAAATAGTGGTGTACAACTGTTATCCAGATTTGACAATTCAAACCGGGCAAGAGCATCTGTACAAACTATTGTCGATTTAGTCCGTGAAAAGGTGACTGATGTCACAAGTTCGTCAAACAGATTCACCTTGCTGACTGATGGTTCGCAAGCGAGAAAGACTGGAATCGAGAAGCAGTTAGTATTGCTAAAGTGGCCAATAAAGGATTTCCAACATTTCTGTATGCGGCACTCCAGAATATGGACGAATTTGGTGATACTAATTGTGATAATCTCACACGCTGTATTGACGATAATTTTCAGTCCAAACAGCCTGATTATGCAAAACAATTAGTCTCGTTCACAAATAACAGGTAATAGACAGTGGTTACTTGATATCGGATGTGTTCTGAACAGACTAAAGTTGGCTGTGAAAGGCTCAGTTATGAACAGAAATGATATTAAAATGTCTATGACTTTACGATATTAATTAATTGTGAACGGAAAACAATCATCAGGAAAATTTGTTGCGACAAGTGTAAAATTCCCGATGGTACTAAATTTATAAACCCACAACTCAGGGATTTAAATGTGATTTTAAACAACTGAATAATTTTGGGTTTCACACTGGAAGATGTTAATAAATCTACAAAATGTTATAAGTGCAAAGTCAAGCTACTGGAATATTATAAAAGTTACAAAACTTAACTTTATTATTTCCCACAAAGCTGTTATAACACCCTTGTCAACGCTTTCATTGTGCGTAGAAAAAACTGATGTGTTATATACTGACGTGATACCCACTGCGGAAAGAGGCGTAAGTGTTGAGAAGAATTGAAATATGATTCATGTAAAGATAAACACATTTCAAATTTATTTTTTTACTGAATCTACCTTGGGGGCAAGCAACACTGGTCTATACCCATTATTTGTAACTGTTAATCCTGGAATAAAAGGGGTGCTTAATTATTTATTTAAAGATATGCATAAAACATTGATATAGCTTTGCATAATATCATTATTAAAACCCACATGGTCTGGCGCTTTTGTAAATACATAATTAATTTGTATTTTTTTCAAGTACTAAGTATATCCTTAGGGTAGCTAGTTTAAAAAAACATCCACGGAAAAAATGATGGTACTACAACCGTTACATTAACAGGAATGAAGAATATTCATAATGTTGTACTTTTTGTAACAGACTGTTATCGATTCTATTGTAAAATGTGCCAATGAAAGTTTTATGTCTTTCACAAACCAAAACTGTTTTTAAAATATGTTTTGGATAGATCCTGCGAATTTACAAGAACAGATACAAGCCATAAATTGGGGCTATAGACACTTTAAGTCTTCTTTAGAGCATTGTAATAGTGATATATCTTTAAGACAAGGATAGTAGGATGATTCTATCAGGGTTCAAGTGCACACAAAATGTGTTCAAATATCTTTTTGTATAGAAAGTCACATTTCGCAAACTTATGTAAAATTGCAGAAATATTGCTTTGTCTACACCCCAGCAATTCTGTTGTTGAATAAGGATTCGGCTGTCTAACGTCAATGCTGTCCGATAGGATGCTAAGCATGTTTCATGAAAGCATGGAAGACTTTAGTTCAGCTCTGAACGTAGGTCTCATTACACTCGCTCTGTACGTTTAGGAACCGGTCTATTGACTCCTTGTCGAACAAAAATTCAGTTCCAAGTAAATCGTACTGGATAACTTTTTACTCATAAACGGTTGCGTGTCCGTCCCTATGAATGCCTGTACAATAGTCAGTAGGTGCGACACAACATGCCGTTAAAAATACGCCCCTTCTGCTAAACAGCTTGACAGAAGCCATCGAAATCTAAATATAGGGTAGCGCACAAATTTACGGATCTCGGCCAAAAAAGACGAAACGAAATTTGGTAAGCAAAAAAAGAAAAAAAAAAACATTTTAACTTGAAATAATTTGTCTTTTAAATCGGATAAAAATAGTGACCTAACGCAATTGTTCGTACAATCAAGGGTCATAATTCAGGAAGTTACGGTCCGATATGCACGTATATCGAAGGGAATCAAGATCCTTGGATTATAAGCATGTATTTCAAAATCTGGTCAAAATTGGGACCACTAGAGGATCCAAAACCTTGATATGCCAGATGTTTACACTATTTGAGTACGAGGGGCGACCATTTTGTCCGGCAGCTTTTCTCAGATTTTCACGAAATTCGAACTCAGCCGATATTACGGTGTAACGGTGATACATTCGAGCGTTTTTGTTTAAATCGGATAATAACTGTGACCTCTAAACGCGATTTTTCGCACAATCAGGGGCCTTAATTCAGGAAAGTACGATCCGACATGCCGGAATATCGACAGGAACCAAGATCTTTGAGATCTTAACATGCATTTCAAGTTTCATCAAAATCGGATCAAAATTGTGACTTCTAGAGGGTTGGTAAGCTTGATATAGCAGATGTTTACACCATTAGCGTACGAGGGGCGGCCATTTTGTCCTGCAGTTTTGGTCAGATTTTCACGGAATTCGATCTCACCCGACATTACGGTGTAACGGTAGTCTAATTAATTATTGGCAATAATTAATTATTGGCATTGAATTGAAGTTAATAGAAAATTTAATTGTGATTATTTCGCTTACTATTCATCCTACGAACCTAAAATTGGGATTGCTGCATTTTTTTACACATTTGCCACTAGAAAACTGTGTAAAGTTAAATAATTAGAGATATAAAAACATGTATTCGTGTTCATTAAGGCGTGGATCACAAGAAAAGGCCCAGTGTCTAAGGCTGATAGACCGTTAAAAAAAAGAACGAAAGGGATTGTGCAATATATATATATATTTATAGATATCCTTCACAGCACACTGCTGCCGTTTTACCCATCCTGTTCCTTTCTATCTGGCGTAGTTGATCTAATGTAATTATATTTTATTTTTAGCTTGTGACAAAGGCCCAATTTTGTATATTAATCCGGTAAATATAATAAATGACCTAGAACAAATTGCAACAAAATTTTTCTCGACGGAATCTGGTAGAGGGGTGT